AGTGCTCGAAAGTCTAATTTTTGTCTCTTTTTCAGGCCAACTAGAGCTCATGATCGTGTGATCAGCACACCCAGCATTAAGAAACACGAGAAAAAACTTAGAAATGAAAAGTAGCATGGAACTACCTTTAATGCTAATGCCCGAGCAAAACAAAGCATCTTGGGTGCTCATCAGATAATGATCCGGCGTGAGGTCTACTGACTCTGGGTGTTGAACTGCGGATTAAAGCGGAATTAATCTTCCAGCAGAGTCTTGCAAATTGAGAGGGACTTCGACGTTCCCAGCTCTCCGAATGCCCAGCTAAAAGTAGGCCATGTCAGAAGCCCCACGTCTGGCTGATTCAGTCGCTAGGTGGTCCCTAATCCATATAGATCAGGGATTGCCTGGGGTAAAAGCACGCCTGACAAAATTGCTCTGTTCGGGAAAAAAGCTACTGCTTGTACAGCCTAGCAAAAAGAAAGCGTCGGATGTCATCAAGACCGATGTTAGACGCACAGGACGCCATGGATGTCGGCCAAAAGGACACGTCAACGCCTCGACATGGAGTCTTTCTCATGCTTTGTATTTACAACGCCAAGACAGTCTCCACTAAAGCCGATCTTCACGCCCTTCTCGAAGCTGCGGGGGCATCAACTAGCAGGTAATTGCCATGCAGGAAATAAAGTCTAGAAAGATGGGAGACAACTGAGTGGTGTAACACTTATCAGTAGTGCGAAAGTTCCATCACGGAATGGAGGCGTTGGATATGTCGCACATCCATCTGTTGTGCAGTCGATTCGCATAAGATCCTATCGCCTCGCCTGGCTATCCTTCCTTCCTCTGCTCAGCGAACCATCGCCATCATCAACTGCTATTCCCCAACAGCGTTGATGACTTGAACTAAATGCTTTTTACGAGGATTTGGAGGAAGTCATCCGCAAAGGGAATATCTTCTACAAATTCTTCTTGAGTGACTTCAATGCAAAATAGGGATGCCAAAAGAAGGGAAGGTTAGGATCGGGAGATTCGGATCAGGACTTCGAAATGAACAAAGTAACCGTCCCGTTGGGCTCTTATCCGCCGCAGACTTTCTTATGGCAATTCCATCCTCATGAAGAAAGAACAACGGCGGTAAACATGGTCGCCCAATGTTACGACTCATGTGGAGATTGACTTCATTCTTACCAACCGAAGATGGTGCTTACT